CTCCGTTAAACATCTTCTCAAATCATGGGAGTAAAGCAGCTCGCTCTAATCGGGCGACGGAATTCTCTGAAGCCCGAAGCCTGCTGCCTGGCACTTGCCCGTGTTCCGTAGCACGCGTTTTGGAACGCATCGCACGGTGAAGTTGGAGGTCTAGACGTCGTTGCGCAGGTCGCACTAGTAGGGGTGCGGCTAGCAGCGCAGTCTTGGGGAGGTCGAGGTTGAGGAAGAAAGGGGTCTGGTAGGATGTAGAGTAGGGTTGGTGGATTTGTATCTGATCTTCTTCTTTCTTTAGGAGGCAGAGAGAGCTTACGGGCTTTTACCTCGACGGCGCCGTTGCGGCCCGAGTCGTCGTGGTTTGTCGGTGAGTAAGCTGGTGGGTGGAGGTCATGAGTAAGTATGGGAGGTGTTGCTGTTGTTGTTGCTATGCGAGGTTTGTTGGGGAAGGGAGGGAGGTTAGGGGTTAGGGGGAAGTGGGCTCCATGGTCCGAGATAAACGGGTGGAAGGCTGAGGGTGTTGGGGTGGGAGGGTATCGGAGTGTGTGTCGCACCTTGCAATGAGATCTTTGTCGTAATGGCTGAGCCGTATATCCCTGGGGAATACCAACCGTGACTGCCAGTTAGCAACGGTCCTCATAACCGCATCTGTTCCCAGTCCAGGATTGGAGGAATCGAAGACCAAGCGACCGGTCAGAAGTTGATATCTTTATGGTTAGCCAGATGATCTTGATATCACAGACAAGGTACCGCGGGGGCAACGGTAAATAGGTGCCCGCATTGTAGTGTCACCAAGACGGGGAAATGAAGTCGAACTTACAGGATGACACCCACGGACCACTAATCACTCTTAAAGGAATATTCCTGGTCCTTGACCACCTCTGGAGCCATGTATTGGGATGTCCCAACCACTTCCTTAACATAGTTGGCGCTGCCCCGGACTGATGAGGTCTCGTTGGATATATCCACGGTGCTGTCCCAGGCTGAGTCGCGTACTAGGTAGCCATAGTGGCCATAAAAAACGGTCTTGTGACGGCTTTTGCTGAGCCCGAAATTGGTGAGCTTCACATGACCTTGCCGGTCTAGAAGAATATTTGCCGGTTTAAGGTCTCGATGAATGAATCCAAGGTTGTGGACGGTCTCGAGTGCTAGGACAATCTCGGCCAGGTAAAATGCGGCGGTGCGGTCATGGAAGCGTATATTTCGCCTCAGCAGTGCCTCCAGATCGCCGCCGGGAAGATATTCGAATAGGAAGTAGAAATTTGTGCCGTCCTGGAAGGCCGTGTAGAGTTTGACAATCCACTCGCTGTCGGCGTCCGCCAAGGCACATCGCTCAGTACACATCCGCTCCATCGCTTGTCTTGATTCCATGGTTCCTTTCTTGGGAATCTGCTTCAACGCGTAGACCCGGCCATTCTGCTTCCTGCGGACCAGGTTCACGAGACCAAACCCGCCCTGGCCGATTGGGTTGATGATGGTGTAGTTATCGAGCCCTTCTTTGGCCCTGAGAAAACGGAGGTACTTGTTTTCTAAGATGCAGGCCATCCCCGTGAGTTGCCGTTCTCTAGGGCCTGGCGCCAGGGCGTGGTGTTCTAAGCTCCGAAGCAGGTTGTACATCCTGTTGTGACTGGTCATCGCCGCCCGTGTCAAGTCCTCAAGACGTCTTCACCTACCGGTTGTTTATTTGCTTCAGCTTGACTAGGGCATCCCCGTTGAACCGAGCAACCGAGGTATAGCACAGTTCCCGGTTGGCGCGCGCCCTTGGACCATACTTCCCGGAGTCCCGCTTAGGTGTGGGTGAGAAATGGAAGGTGTCCATGGACTTGGAAACTCGGGCGGGGAGGGGGGGAAGGGGGGGGCAATAGAGCGGTGCGGGCTGGAGAGTACGGGTACAACGCGGCTGTAGACTCTGGTGTAAATGCTGTTGTTATAGGATGTCTAGATAATCATAATACAATAACTTGAATCAAGGCATTTCGATTCCTTCGTTGTCCGTGGGATTCGGGACCGATATGTGGGGGGATGAAGTTGAGTGAGGATGAGTATGGGCGGGCAATTTCTGTATTTGCTTCTGGCAAACTTCTGTAACTTAAGCTTCCAAGGTTCCCTCGGTTCCCTCGCACAGGGAGGGGAAAATGATGAAATAGGCGGTGGGCCAGGTTGCCGAGTTCGAACAAGGCAACGGCGTTGGAGTTGCCCTGTCCTTCCAAACGGAAGGAAGTTGCTTGGGTAGGAGGGCCGTCCGTAGTAGTCCCCCTCGCGCTAGGGGTGCTTCCAGGTTGCGTTGGCCGTGGACTGAGCTGTACGAGCTTAATTCACTCCGTACAGTACGTGCCACGACAGAGCCGGCGTTTCATGGAGACCGATCACTTCCGGGCACCTATCCAATCTTGGCATTCGTGAGTGGACTGTGTAAATTGCCGCGCACATGAAGCTGTCTGCGGGTACCTTCCTCTTTCTTATCTTGAGCTTATCTAACTTCAAGGTACATTAGTTAGTTAGTTACCTTGGTAGGTACCTACCTATGGTAGTATTGTAAGCATGGACAAGTATGTTCCTCATTTGGTAGATGATAGTTCAAAAAACATCCACTTGGTAAAGGTGTCCTTAGCTAAGCTATGATTGATCAGTTTTGGTTTTCTAGGTTAGAGATATGGATAGGCACTATACAAAAGTATGAGTAGGACCGCTCAGGTTGGTCGAGGTTGCCAGCGCCCCGAGACTGCCACCTAATGGCGTCAAGCGCACTCACCGCCTGCCAATCGAAGCGCTAGTGTCCTTGACAACTGGAGCCCTCGGGGCCCAAACAACCAACCTCTCTCTACCTTTACTCGCTCGTCTCTCTCTCATTCCCAGTCGCATTTATGACATTACCACTCCGCTTCGACCGATCGGTAGGCCAGCCGTGGTTATGCCAGCCCAAGCAAGCCGCGATTCCGTCTTTTCTATCTCCCCGGATTCTGCCTGCAACTTCGCCCCGAAACTTCCCGTTTATTGCCAGCAATCCCATTTTTTAGGTGAGTGCAGGCTCGGCCCGAACTGGGTCCCTCCCTGCAGGCGGCAGGTAGGTGCCCTGCCCATGTGAGAGGTGCACGGCCCAGACCTAACTCGTTAACCCGACGTTCCAGCTAGTCGGCCCCCGCGGTCAAACCACCGACCCATTCGGTGACGACACGACGACATCTCTATGACGGCTTTGGTCATTCTCTCAGCTTCCGCATCGGCTACTCGACCCGCCCTCCTCTCTCATATCGCATCCAACCTTTCACCATCGACTTCGCCGATAGCTCCCCACTTGATTACCATAGTATCATCAGAACCCGAGCATAGGCTCTGCTCCCCTCCTTCTACCCTTCACTTTTTTCTGCGGGAACGAACGCCGGTCCTGCAGAACCAAACTCGATCGCCGTGGCAGACCATACCCCCAACGACGCTTCTATCCATATCCCGCCCGACTCTGCACCCGACAGCCCACCTTCTCAACCGATCCGGGTGCCGTTAAACCCTGCACCGCCGCTCGAAGCCCCGATCCCGCCCCAGCTCCCTCCACTACGAAGCCGAACGGCGACGTCTCCGGTGGTTGGCCCCTCTCCGATTCACAGGGCCACTGCCCGAACTGCAGCGGTGTCGTCCGCCACCAATCATTCGACACAGATCCTCGGTAGGAGACAGAGGGCCGAGCTCGACGAAGAAGCAGAGGAGGGAGGAGCACACGACAGCACGTCCGGCAACACCGCTGCCTCCGGCCCGAGTCCGAAGCGAAGACGCCGAGCCAACATGCTGATGGAGCTGGATAAAGGAGAACCCTCGACCCGGGCTTCGCAAACGGTGGCTAACGGGTCCCGGGCCGGCGGGGAACATTCCTTGGGAGCTTCGAGCACCCCGCTTAAGGCGCATTCCGACGCCGCGCGCAACCCCAGGCTTAATGGGGCCTCTGCGGGAGTGCGGCATGAGACCTACTATGGTCATAGTCGGGAGGAGGTGACGCGCATCTTGATACAGGCGCTGAACGACCTGGGTTACAAGGCGGCGGCGGACAACGTTGGCCAGGATAGCGGCTTCCAGGTAGAGAGCCCAGACGTGATTGCCTTCCGACAAGCCGTGCTGGATGGGTCCTGGGTCAAGGCGGAGGAGTTGCTCTGTGGCAAAACCGCTCGCGGACCCAGGCTTGTCCTGGCTTCCGGAGCAGATCGCGACGCTATGAGGTTTAGGCTGCGGCGGCAGAAGTACCTCGAGCTCTTGGAAAAGGGTGATACGGGTCGGGCATTGGCTGTGCTTCGGAATGAGCTCACGCCCTTGTGTCAGGAACAACACCAAGCAATCCCCCTCCTCTCGAGACTCCTCATGTGCCAAGACGCCAACGAGGTCAAGGTGCGGGCTAACTGGGACGGCGCGAACGGCCGGTCGAGGCAGATATTGCTCGCACAGCTTTCAGGTTTGGCATTTCCAACGTCCGCATTGTCTGTGTTAGATTGCTGATCGTCTTGGACAGAATCCATTTCCCCGTCTGTTATGCTACCGGAGCGCCGCTTGGCTGTTCTTTTAGACGATGTGAAAAACAGCCAGGCGGAGAGATGCCGTTATCACACAGACGACGCGCTGCCATCGCTTTGCGTGGATCATTCCTGCGACAGGAGCCGATTCCCTTCCGAGATTCTGGTGGAATTGTCACCTCCGGGATTGGCATCGTCTAAGAAGCTCGACGAGATCTGGCAGGTCCGCTTCTCGCCCAACGGAAAACGCCTGGCCGCTTGCGGTACGGACGACGCGGTCAACATCTGGGACGTTGAGCGCCTCACGTTTTGTCACCAGCTATCTGAACATCAAAAGCCCGGAATTGGCAACCTCGCCTGGAGCCCTGACAGCAAGCTCCTTGTTACCTGTGGTCTCGATCATACCGCTAAGCTCTGGGACGCCGAGGTGAGTCATGGTTCCAACGTTCATGTGGGCTGTGTGTAAGTGTGCCATGCGACTGACAGCAGGCTTTATTTAGTCCGGGGAGTGTTTGCGGGTGATTGATGATTTCGAGGAGCCCGTGAGCAGCTGCGTCTGGGCCGCGGACGGTCAGTCGTTTGTCACCGGGTCGTTTGACAAGACCCGGTCTCTGAAGTTGTGGAACCTGCGCGGCGATTGCATCCATACCTGGCCTAATCTGCACAGGACCGAAGACCTCGCTCTTTCGCGCGATCAGCACTGGCTGGTTGCTACGGACAACCAGTGCGCCCTCCATGTTTACAATCTTGTCACTCGGGAGCATGTGTATGACCTGGTACTCAACTCGAGGGCCGCGTCGCTCAGCATAAGCCGGGATTCCAAGTTTCTCCTCGTCAACAAGGTGGATTGCGAAGCAGTCTTGATCGACCTTGAGACGCGCGAGACGGTGCAGAAGTTCACGGGCCAGAAGGGGGGGAACTTTACTATTAGAAGCTCTTTTGGTGGTGCCAACGAGAACTTTGTTATCTCGGGTAGCGAAGGTGAGGCGCCACGGCGATAGTCGGGTTTACCCACGGATTTTGGGGCCATGTTGCTGACCCGAGATTTGCAGACGGCCACGTCTTTATCTGGCACAAGGTGACGGGCATTCTCGTCCACGAGGCCGAAGCGCACCACACAAGCTGCAACGCAGTCGCTTGGAACCCAGCGGACCCGTGCATGTATGCCACAGCCGGCGACGATGGCAGAGTCAAAATGTGAGCAAAAACACCCCTACCTGGCCTAGTTTTCGTCACTAACGGTTGATTCCCTAGTTGGTCAAACAGACAGCGAGTGAGGGCTCTGGCCTTAACGGCGCAGCATTCTAACGGGATCGGACACAGAGTTAGTAACGGCAGCCTGGTCTCGGGGGAGATGTGGCATTGAGAGTGGCGCCGGTAAGCAACCCAAGGACGAGGCGGCCGTGGTAACCTCGTTTCTTTACCTCCCCTTCTCTTCCCCAACGGCGGTGGTATTTGGAATACAGGACATAGCATGGGGCGGCGAACTTGGAGATACGGGGTGTTCTAGGAGTGCTGCATTGTTTTTCATCGAGGCACACACGGTTAAACCGCGCCCTTTCTTCTTTCGTTTCTTTCGCTTGGCTTTAAACACTTCGGAGGGCTTGGCAAATCCGGATGGATAACCGGGGACAATGGACGGTGGATGGCATTCAGGCTGGACCAGATGATATGATGAAGATTGGGGGTAGGCAGGCAGGCGGTGTTGATAGCATATGGGGCACGGTTGGGCGTGGGAGGTGGCAGGTTGGTTTTGTCTGTTATCGCTATCCGGGTTATGTATTCCATTCAACACGTTGGAGGCTGGGTATTCGGGCCCATAGACGAAGGGGGGATGGGAAGATGGTTGGGTTGAAGCGGGGCGGAGTAGAACAGAAACAAATCGATACACTTCGTTCAGTCGACAACCTAGCGGTGCCTTCTCTGCCCTAAGGTGAGGAAGGTATGCAGCTACTGACCGCTTGACGGCTGACCCCCCCTTACAGCAGCGGGCCACATGCGCCGCGTCAACTCGAGCCTCAGATGACGAATCCCATTCGGGTGGTCCAACGCAGAGTGGTTAGGCAGCAAACCACAGGGAGAATCAATTATGATTCTTGGAAGTTCGATTATAGGAACAGTTAATGCTGGTATAGAGTAGAAGTATGCCGGCTCATGTCATTCATGTTTCTCAGGGTTTAATAGGTGCCAGGGACTTGGAGAGAGTCCTGTGTATTCTGTATTTAGTATTCTGTATTCTGTATGTATGTAAATACCAGGGACCACGTCGTCGCATCACGTGTAGCCCACGAGTTCCTGGCTGCCTCGCTGCGACCGCTACTGTAAGAAGGTAACCTCGCAGACGGGGGGCTGTGACACGGGTGGGTCCCCACGTAAGTTACCCTGGAACGGTCTGGTCCTCCTGCGAGGCAAACCATCGAAGATTCCATCCTCAACCCAAAAGAGGGAAGACACGACGCGGCTTTCTTCACTCCATACCCTAATTTGACTCAACAGGCCGACGAGAACCCCCCCGAGGTGTCACCATCCGAACTACAAAACAATACCTCAAAGTCGCTGCAGTCCGGCATTTCGCACCGTGCTGTTGAACCCTTGCATTTATTGTGTTGAGGCCCCCGGACTGCCTTTCTGCCCTGCACCAACACCACCCACCGCCTGCACCACGCCGCCTACCTATCGCAAACATGACGGTCGATGCCGCCTCCCTCGCAACCCCCGGCGGCATTTCTGACCCCGGGCTGATCAAGTACGATTTTTCTTTTTCATGCATGGCACACTAAGTTGTTGTCTTTGGGTTTCGTCATCGGGCACTAACATGCATCCTTCTGCACAGGCTTGTCAACAAACTTCAAGATGTCTTCACCACCGTCGGCGTCAACAATCCGATCGATCTGCCCCAAATAGTCGTCGTCGGTAGCCAGTCTAGCGGCAAGAGTTCAGTATTGGAGAACATTGTCGGCCGCGACTTGTGAGTCCCCTCTCCCTCCCCGGCCCCTCTCGCCCCTGGGGCCCCTGTGTCCCCGCCATGTGCCCCACGGTCGTCCGTGTTCACCGACTGACATATGCGACTCGTGCGCAGCCTACCCCGCGGCTCCGGCATCGTCACCCGTCGGCCCCTCGTCCTCCAGCTTATCAACCGGCCCGGCCAGCCTGAGACGAACGGGCACGAGAAGGAGATTAACGACAGCACCGACAAGCAGGCGAACACGGAGGAGTGGGGCGAGTTTCTACACATCCCCGGTCAGAAGTTCTACGACTTCAACAAGATTCGCGATGAGATCAGCAGGGAGACCGAAGCCAAGGTCGGCCGGAACGCCGGCATCTCGCCCGCCCCCATCAACCTGCGCATCTACTCGCCCAACGTCCTCAACCTCACCCTAGTCGATCTTCCCGGTCTCACACGAGTGCCCGTCGGCGACCAGCCGCGCGATATCGAGAGGCAGATTCGGGATATGATTCTCAAGTATATCCAAAAGTCTAACGCCATCATCCTGGCTGTCACGGCTGCCAATATTGATCTAGCGAACTCGGACGGCCTGAAACTCGCGAGAGAGGTGGACCCAGAGGGTCAACGGACAATCGGTGTGCTCACCAAGGTCGATCTGATGGACGAGGGCACCGACGTGGTTGATATTCTTGCCGGGCGCATCATTCCTTTGCGGTTGGGTTACGTCCCGGTGGTGAACCGCGGGCAACGAGACATTGACAACAGGAAGCCCATTAACGCGGCGCTCGAGGCCGAGAAGAACTTCTTTGAGAATCACAAGGCGTACCGCAACAAGAGCTCGTATTGTGGCACGCCGTATCTGGCTCGCAAGCTTAACCTGATCCTGATGATGCACATCAAGCAGACGCTGCCGGACATCAAGGCCCGCATCTCGAGCTCGTTGCAAAAGTACTCGCAGGAGCTCGAGTCCCTGGGGCCGTCGTTGCTCGGGAACAGCGCCAACATCGTGTTGAACATCATCACCGAATTCACCAACGAGTGGCGCACCGTGCTGGATGGTAACAACACGGAGCTGTCGAGCATCGAGCTGTCTGGAGGTGCCAGAATCAGTTTCGTCTTCCACGAACTGTACTCCAACGGTGTCAAGGCGGTGGACCCCTTCGATCAGGTCAAGGACGTCGACATCCGCACCATCCTGTACAACTCGTCCGGTTCCTCGCCCGCGCTGTTCGTCGGCACGACCGCCTTCGAGCTGATCGTCAAGCAGCAAATCAAGCGGATGGAGGAGCCGAGTCTGAAGTGCGCGTCGCTGGTGTACGACGAGCTGGTGCGCATCCTCACCCAGCTGCTCAGCAAGCAGCTGTACCGGCGGTACCCGCAGCTCAAGGAGAAGATCCACGCTGTCGTCATCTCCTTCTTCAAGAAGGCCATGGAGCCGACGAACAAGCTGGTGCGCGACCTCGTGTCGATGGAGTCGTGCTACATTAACACGGCCCACCCCGACTTCCTGAACGGGCATCGCGCCATGGCCATGGTTAACGAGAAGCACAACCCCTCCCGTCCCGTCCAGGTTGACCCCAAGACCGGCAAGCCCCTCGCCTCGACACCCGCGCGGGCCGCCAGCCCCACGCTCGCCGCCGACGCCGACTCGTCCAACTCGGGCTTCTTTGGCAGCTTCTTTGCTGCCAAGAACAAGAAGAAGGCCGCCGCCATGGAGCCGCCCCCGCCAACCCTCAAGGCGTCGGGGACGCTGTCGGAGAGGGAGGGGATTGAGGTCGAGGTTATCAGTGAGTGCCTGCCCAGTCGTGGCCATCATCACAGCTAAAAGAGAAACTGACCCTATGTGTTCTTACAGAGCTGCTCATCTCATCCTACTTCAACATCGTCAAGCGCACCATGATCGACATGGTTCCTAAGGCGATCATGCTGAACCTTGTCACGTATGTTTCCTTCAGCTGTTCCTACAAATGTATATTTTCAAGCATAACCGTACTAACAACTATGGTCGCATAGCTTCACAAAGGACGAGATGCAAAAGGAGCTGCTCGAGAACATGTACCGCCAGAGCGAGCTCGACGACCTGCTCAAGGAGAGCGACTACACCATCCGCCGCCGCAAGGAGTGCCAGCAGATGGTCGACTCACTGAGCAGGGCTAGCGAGATTGTGAGCCAGGTGCAGTGATTGCATTGTCCCTTTTCCCTCTTCAAACGGTGTGTGTGTGTGTGTGTGTGTGTGCCTGGGCTGGGCTGGGTCGGGTTGGGCTGGGTGGGGTGGGGATGTAGAGACGGGGAGGCAAGCGTGTCGTTAGCTTCTTCTTCTTCTTCTTCTTCTTTATGAATGGAATGAGATGAGATGAGAGGACGCTGCGTGCCGTTGGTTGGTTACGGGGGGATGTGAGGATCGTTATGTGTGCGTGTGTATGTGTGGATTGAGTTGACTGGGACGTGGGGCGGGCAGGGGGTGAGAGGATGGTGAGTCGGACTCGGGAGGGAGGTTTGTGGCAGAAGGATTCTCCTTATTCCTTTTTCGATACCAGTGGTAGATCATGAAGACTGTTGCGTTTCTTGTGTCCGGTGGTTGCCCCGGTGTGTGCGTGAGGAGCAGGGCTTGACTGGGTGCAAAGTGGATGAAGACCACTTCAGACATCATCGCGCTTTGATCGGACCCCTGAAAATCTGGACCGGCTTCTACAATTTTCACTCGCTTTCAAAAAGGTGCTTGCGACTTGATACCCTTGGCTCATGTTCGTGTCACCGTGAGTAGGCAATGTCCCAGGTGGTTCAGGATGAAGGTGTAAATCTTTTGAAGCCTGTTGTTGTAAACCCGCGGCGTAAGGACAGAGATCAATTCACCTTCTTTTCCTCATCTCGACTAACCTCGTATCTTTGCATTCTTGGCCAACGATCCGGTAACTCGAATCGCGCAATCGCAATACTGCAAGGGGGGACTTCCGCCCTCTATTCGTTGCAGTTATCAGGCTACGCTTACAGACTCCGGCTTGTTGCTTTTTCGCCAGCCAACAAGCCACAAACCGACGAGTGCTCACCCTCGCTCACCTGGGTGGACGGGCCAAGAATGCAAGATTCCCCGCGCCAGACAACTCCAGCCTTCTCTGAAACTTAGTTATGTAACTACCCCGTTAGTCTGCCGCCAGCCCCAGCCCGACCGCTGCGGGAGCCGGCAGCAAATGTCTGATTGGATTTGGGCCTGGGGTGCACACCGCATCCCCTCTCGGGGGGACCTGGCCGCGGGCAATGGCGTGGCGGCGCCGCGGCCTCTGGCATTCCCGTCCGCGGAAGAAGCAATCGCAGTTGTGTGTATCGTATCAGCAAGCCGCCGAGAAGGGGAAGTCCGATTTTGGGCTCCGGGCGTGCGCGTACAGAAAGTACAGGGACGACGGGGATTGAATAGGTATTTAACTCGCAGAGTTTCCAGGATGGTGAGGGGGTGAGCTTCCGGTTGTAAGGCTGAGTTTGTACATACTTTCAAACTTGATCGATAATCTCAACATTAGCTGGCCCCGAAGGCTGAGGGAATCCTGATCTCTTGATATTTTGATAACCCCCCACAAACACTACAATGCACGCTAGCGTTGAGGAACGGACGGCAGACATCAACGTCATGGCCCAGAATTCAAGAGATCCATCACCGGGGCCACCGCCTAATCCCCCTCCAAGTCCGGCATGATTATATTGGGAATGGGGGTGAACAGTGGACACAAGGTTTGTGATTTCGCAATTAGATCTTGGACAGACGGGGCTGACTCTTGCTCCCTTGGCCTAGACGGGCGGCCCTGTTTCGAATCAGACACCAAGATCCAGACCGACAGACCGACCTCATTAGAAGAAGGAATCGTCATTTTTTGGGGCAATTGGGTTTATAGAGGGTATCATATTTGTATTCTGTCGGTATTACTACACTAGACACACGGCATCAACTTACAGATGCCTATCACAATCGGCTTATTCTTCTCGCACCGCCGCTCACAGCTTCGCCTTATCCTTCAAGACCATGCCGCCGTCTTCAACCTCGTACTGGTCACCCCTCGACCAACCCAACCACTCCTCCAACGTCTGCTCCCCACCCTGTCCCGGTTCAAGAATCTGCCCAACATACCCCTCCCCCTCCACACCCGGGCCCTGCCCATGGCTAGCATCCTCAGCATCCTTCCTCACAGCCAACCACGGCGTCTCGCGCAGCGTAACCGCCGGCCTCTGATCACCCTCCTTACCCACCCGATCCTCCTCCATCTCCCCATACTCATACACGGGGGTACAGCACGCATCAGTGCCCTCAAACACCCCCTCCCACTCCGCCCTACTCTTCGTCTTGAAAACCCCCTCCAAAACCCGCCTCAACGCTGGCCATTCCGCCCGGTCATACCTCTTCCGCTCCCACCCCTGCCCTTCCAGCCCCAGCCCCTTAACCAGCTCCCCAAAAAACCGCGGCTCCAGCGCGCCCACCGCCATCCACCGCCCATCCGCCGTCTCATAGCACTCATACCACGGACACCCCGAATCCAACAAATTCTCCCCGCGCGGGCTATCCCACACGGGCGTCCTCGCCGCAAACCTCGCAAAACTCCCCAAATACGCCACCCCATCCACCATATTCACCTCCACCACCTGCCCCCTCCCCATCAAACTTCTCTCCCTCGCCAAAAGCGCCATCACCACCCCCAGAACCCAACCCCTCCCCCCCCGGCGGAAAATTCTTAAGGAGATTCCGCGAGGGCCCTCCGCGGGCACCCCACAGGTTGAGAATAGTAGTGGCTATTCTAACGAAATATATTAGATTTTCTCCAGAGTGATGGAAACG